TTATGGAGGACATTTGAGCAACGCTAGAGTGAATCTGAGAGTGTCAACGTAATAACTAAATGAGGGTTATAAACCCGTGTTAAGAATTCAAATTATGATTTACAGTTCATGGTTAAGGTTATGAATTTTACTAAGGGTTTTCATCACGAACTGACATCAGCTATAATGCCACAACTCAATCCAAATATATAATTGAATTTTGCGCCAAAATCTTGTGGTAACTTATCTTGTAGACGCTTAATTATCATGTTTTCTCTAAAATCCTTTGTAAACCGACCGTACGTAAGCGTCAGGTATCGAACATAGCGCCGTGACCTTGAAAACCCGCGAAAGCTTCTGATTGGCTCGTCCATGTTCTTTAGTTTAGCCTCCCTTCCATGGCCGGACATAACTTAATAAATGACGTTATTATTTGTAAAAATTTTATTTTGGTTATCATTTTTTTGTAATTTTCTACCTCTTTCCGTTTGTATTCTTCACTATCTATTTACTTACATCCTTCTTATTACGTAATGATTTTAATGTTTTGTGATTACTATTCCAGTCTATTTACCCACGTTTGACCTCTTATTTCTTATGTTTAATTATTGATAAGACTTTTGTTATCGTAATTTACTATTCTTACTACTATCAGTACACCTGTCTTCCCACTATCAACTTGTACTTTTAACTATTATTATGCTTGGTAACGTATTCTATTTCATTGTGATTATTATTGACTCAAATAGCCTTGATTGGTCTAACATTCTCATATAAATATTCATGTATATTAGAGTAAAGCCTGATGACGATCTAATTGAAAACAATTGTTCGCTTACATATGTTGTTCTAATTTTCACAATGGGAATCTTTAATATATCAGAAAGGACCAACTCCCACGTGATTATTCAAATAATATGTTCGGGTGGAGTGATAAAATAATGAATAAGTTCATGAATTGACAATAATTACCATGAGTCCTCATTCAATAAATTGTAACTCAAACAACTGTATCTGGTTTGTAACTGTGATGAATTTTTCCCACGGTAAGGAGAATCTATGTAAATCGTTTAAATAAAATCTAGTTTTTATCAAGAACTAACAACAGCTGAATAACTAATGACTAAATAGTTTGTAAGTGATTATCTAAAATAAATTGATAAAATTAACCCCCGAGCGGCGGTAAATATTACTTTCATATTTGCTAATTCAACTGAACCTTATTTATTATTGTAAGGTAAATTCTGAAGTTAAAAAGTATGCAAACAAAATGATCCAATCAATGCATACTCATTTAGTAGAAATTTAGAAATATCGAGTACGCATGAGACTTGAAACGGATACTAGACCTTTGAAAACTTACTCTTGTCAGCGGTATTCAAAATGATAAATTGACAGAAACAACAACATGATTGAGAAAAATTTTCATAACTCAACTTATATTGATATTCAAAGTCATTTTTGTATCACTGATAATTTAGTATTTATCAATAACAATGTGTCCAGTTAATTAACCAGTAGTTTTATTTTATTTCGGAATTGTAATTAACCACTTCATTTAGAAATTTAAGCTGATGTTCGGTCTCTGAAAACGTGCTCTCATAAGGTGAATTGCCTAAGATGAACATGTCCAGATAAAAAGGTGATTGGACAGGTTTTTATATTACAGTTATTTTAGTTATTTTCAAAATCGTTTATGTATAAGTAAAAGTCTTGAAAACTTATCAACAATATGATCAGTCAGTTGATTGGTAGTTCTGATTCACTTCTAGAGCGTACTAAAATACGGAGTTAATATGATCAATATTCAAATATCGGTCACCTCAGTCAGTTACACGCTTTATTTAATCAACCATACTGTTATAAAAAAATTAGTGATAGTTGAAAAGATTTTCTCATAGTTCTTCTCATCAAGACTTTTATTCGATTTCAGTGAACAAAATTTTTAAATCCCCTAGTGGGCTGAACTTTTAATCAACTGATTCATCACTGAAAATAAATTTAACCGAATAGGGGTTTGTGGAAAATGTATTATTTTTCACAGTTGAAGCCATAACCATGTCGGCTGAAGACAGTTATCCATTTTAAACAATGAATGAAGGGTTCCGTAAGATCATGGAAAAATTGCAGTTGGACATTAACACTGTTGGATGCCGTCTCGGTGGTCTAAAGGTTAAAAGTTTGCGCACGGGATCGTGGATGTACACTGCTGAGGAGTTCAGTACTAGGACGAAACGGTCGTCCAGCTTTTCAATGGTGGTCTAGCTTAGGTCGACTCATGAACTCAACTATATAAATTCAAATCCCAACACAAATTCAAAGTAATGCATGCAATGAATACGCCTTAAAATACTATTTTAAAACTTGAAATACAATAACCAATGAACATAAACCGAGAACTGATAGTACACACGTATTCATCATCACATGAATACAATAAGATTGTAGTAATTAGGTTAACTGGTACACTAAACAGTATAAAGTGTATATAAATATAGATATAGTAGATACTTGCATTTAGAAAAGTAATCAATTCTAATTTAGTTCTTCGCAAAAATGCTATAAATTATGTACTTTGTAATCATATTCTCAATTGTTAAAGTACATCTTAACAAGGAAGTAAACACAGGACGGTTTATTCAATATTATCTTAATTTTAAATAGATGAAAACATTCTTTATTATTAAGTGATATACAACTTAACTATCTATATGAAGAATACCTTACATTAATAACTAATCCTTCGAAACATAACGTGTAAATAAGCCCCTCCCAAAAAAAAATTTTTTTAGATAGGACCGATGCTATCATGTTGATTAATAAAAATAGATATGAAAAATTTTATTTATTGAAAAAAAAGAATCTTAGTACTAAGCAAAGATGGATAGTGGCAAGCAGTGGAATCCAGTTTGACGCGCGTTTCGTCTTATTTAGGACTGGTCAGCTGGATGTACCTGCATCTCAGAGTTGATGTTCACCCCGGGACTCGAACTCAGTACCTTTCGCTTCAAACGTGTTCTGGATTCCACTGCTAACCACTATCCATCTTTGCTTATAATACTTGTGAATTAAGGCTATATCGAGGTAATACGCACAGTATACACATATGCCGATAAGAGACTGAGCAGTTGCAGTCCTAAATATCAATGGGAAAATTCAAACAAGCAATAGCAAGTGAATTTTAGTAGTATACTAAAGTAAACTAATATGTATAAAAAAGTTGAAGTATATGCATAACTAGATTAATTAAAATGGTATTGAATTTGCAAATGTTTTATTTTATTTTATAAAAAATGATACGGAGAATTCAAACAATGTAAAAACGATATTGATAGTTGTCATTAACCGGAGAATGAATCAATTATTCATGGACTATTATTACATATATTCCTGTTGACTAACTATTAGGTAACTAGGTTCTATATATATTCATATTCCTTTTTTCATAAACTTTCATTTGACCTGTCGGTTACTGTAATACAATTTACCATTCTTAACTTATTCTCAACTTATCAGTTACAGTCACTTCTGACTTGATCTTTTATAATAATAATTTTCTTATTTCATGGTTTAATGACGACTGGCTTGCTTGTACATAAACTACGTATGTCTGAAATATAAGATTCATAAAGTGCAGGCTGATATTTGTGTTCTGGACTGAACAGGCTGTGATAGGCTAGAGGTTGATATACAGAGGAGCAATAAGGACTGAGAGTAGACTCAAGGCCACTAGTGCTATTTGATGCATCGTTGGTTTAGCACACGGACAAGCTCATAAGAGTCGGTATTTTGACTGGCGATTCGCCACGTGGTATTTGACGGGACATAGGATATGACAATAGTACAATGTAAAAAATTCATTGGATTTCGTTGCTTTCAACCGAACTGCTTAAGAGCTAATATGTTTAATTTTTTCCAATGAATGGCATAATGTTAAAAATAAATTGTCAATCAGTAACGAACAAGCTAATGTGTAAAATGAAAGAAGTTAGGAATCCAATTTTTAATAGGATGGATTCTTTATATGATTCCTTGAACTAATCGTTCCAGTATAATAGGACGATTTTGTAATTTGATCTAACGAAGTTTTTAAACTTAAAAAGGAAAATTAGACGTGAGGTTAATCCTTTAAATTATGATGACAACTAATTGAAAAACGAGTCAAGATGTTACCAAGGCAACAACGACTGATAACCGACTCTTTAAATAAAAAGTTTAAGTTAAAACCTTCTGATATCTGGGGCTTCTACAAATTTAAATAACATGGGTTGGGACCCACATATTAGTAACTTTAAACGAATTTATTAAGTCTACGTTATGCCCCGTATCAGGTGGGTGATGTGCTATTGAACTCCGTAAGCAACGTTCTCCAAGATAATGTAGGCTTCTTCGAAAACTTGAAGCCTGCCTTACTGTTATTACAATGGATACGTTCTTGTGTATACAGGAAATTAAATGTTATGAATTAAAATAAAACATAACATAGTGTGATCAGTATCAAGTAACTATGCAAGATATTAGACAGAGAAGTTATGTAGTCTCAGTAAATACAAGTGTCACCAATCATTGATAGAATTATCATAATCAATAATAATGGCAATGATTATTGAATTAATGAAATGTTCACACACACAACCAATTCGTGAATCCCAACTGTGAATAAACATCAAAAAAGAATCCTCAAGAACAAAAATTCCCTCTCAAAGTAGGTATGACTAATAAGATTAAATGAGAATAACGGTAACCAAGTAATCTCTGATTTACATCCATTCCAATTACAAGGAAACGGATGAGTGGTTGTTTTTTTACATAACTGATACAAACGGCACCACAGATAATAAACCTTAATACCAAAAAAGATACGCAGCTAAGTTCTATAGTTTCTTATAGAATCTATATTTCAATCTTTAGCATCTTATGCAATTTGTCTAAGAAATTAAATCAAACCGACTAGTTGTTTATTTAAATTTGGAGAAACATTAATTTTTCTGATCATCCAAATAATTAATTACTAAGCAATCCTTCTGTGAAAAATGTAGATGTTTATTTTGAATTTAAACAGTAAGACATAAGATAGTTCACATGACTCTTCAGAGAAGAAAACGGTCGAAAATCTTAAGGCAAAATTTTTTAAGACAGGAAGAGTCTATCAATTAAAACGATTCAAATGATCACATCTGTTTGTGTGAAAATTTATAGATGATTTCGAAACATTGCTATTTTGTATATACATAAATCAGTTTGTTCGGAATCAAATAGAATAGAGATATACTAAAACAACCATTTACAATGATAAGGCAAATGGAATTAGTCACATCAAATATGGCTCATGAGGTGCGCTATAATTTACAGTTTGTCAGTGCAAAGATTGAAAAATTCAAGAACAGATGCAATAATGATAGTGAATATTATATGGTATGATATTCCTGAATACAAAAGACGTTTATCTTTATGAACTGAAATGTTAAAAAGGTAAATCAGTATTGGAACGATAAGTAAGGTTTCATCTACAGTGTTACTGTTCTTCCACACATCAAGCCACATCATGTGCTGATTAGTGATTAGGTTAGAAAGAGAATTTCTGGAGTTGCAATCAGAAATCGTGACCACAAGAGTTTACCTATGTCAGACGCGAGAAAGGTACCCACAACAAACAATGGAGTATAGTCGCCAGAGATTGGACTGAAGTTAGTCTTGTATACCAAGAAATCCAGGTTCAGTGATCTAGAGGTTAACCGATCGCGCGCTAGGTTCAAGGCCTTAGGTTTAACCTCTGGTAAGGGGTCGTAGATGTTCATTACTAAGTAGTCACATACTAGGGCTAAACAGCTGTCCATCGATTCTAAGTTCTTGATGGTTATTTATCTCACATCGGTTTGCAATCTCGATAACATATCAGTCTTGTTGTGTTGTAACAATCAGAAATTTTTCAAATAATCATAACAAATACCGATATTGTCAGTAGCAGAAAGCATGTGAGGATTTTGTCGAGACAGAACATAAAAAAGAAAACAGATATAGTTGACTTGTAAATTTATACTTTATTACACACACCTATGCAATCGACGGACACGTTTCACTTCTGCCTATTTAAATTCCCCTGTTAAGCCTGTTTTTTCCCCAGCTAGCGATTTAAAAAGTTAGAAATGAATTAAATTCATACAAACCTACAGAAATGTTTAGCATTGTTGTTTTGTTCACATTATCATATAAACTGTCAAAAATGGTTGACACACGATCATGTATAAACATAATCAACATATCGAAAAATAGATAAATAATTAAGAATGGAATAGTTTTTTATGATGTTTAGTATGAATAGAATAATTGATAAGTTTCATGCTGATACTTTTATAGGCAAACTAATGTGTATACATATTTTGTGAATATATATTTTATACTACTGAAATGAAAACACAGTAGTACATCTTGCTTATGAAGAAAACCGAATGAACGGACAAAAACTTTTAGTTTGAAAGACATGTATGCATAATGATAAGATGGTACAGTCAATATTTAAATGAATAAACCAAAAGTAACATAAACAAACTTGATTGAGTTCATACAAAGAAACAAACAAAAAAACACGGTTATATGACGATATCTGCCAACACATGAACACAAACTCATTTGCGTATGGGATTCACACACACACACACACACACACACGTACAAGTCTACATGAAGAAATAATCCAAAAAAGTATATAGTAAACATTAAGACAGTAATAAATACATAAAAAAGACGAAATAAAATGTAACAATTCATTTGTGTGTACACTGTGAAGGAAGTGAAGTAAGAAAAAGAGTAAAGATTATGCAATTAATTTATGACTGTTCAAACAATTTATTATAGATCATTTAGATTAGAAGAGAAATTTAAAAGAAAGAGCAGAAACAAAACACTAGTAATTTGATATTATGAAGGGATAAATAATGAGTAAGTGTGATTAAGGTTTAGTTAATAGACTAGTTGAGGATTGTGTAGGAGATGACAGACTGAAACGTTTAGAAGATGGAAAGTGATCCTTTTGATTGCTATTACTATTATTATTAGTATTTAATGATGTTGTGCTGAAATACGGGGCAATATTTTTATTCAACAATGTATGGCATACATCACATACAACAGCCGGATGACCAAATGGTCCAGCTGGCATAGTATTCTTTGTACAATTGGAACAATGAACTTTACCACAATGACGACAATTGATTTTTTTCGAACTATTACTATTGGAAATTCCCATTGGAAATGGTGAATTACACGAAAAACAGTTGGTCACATCATCTGGACTGATCCATCTTACTTCTTGATCTTGTTGTCTTAATCTTTCCAGTTGGACCTGAAATAAATTTATAGATACAACATAAAAAAGACACCGAAAACTACATAATTAAAATGTAACTTGAAGAACCAGTAGTCTGTTGTGCTCACAATGAACTATGACAACTTAGACCGATGCATATATGTGTTTGGTCCTACGTTGTAGATGACTGACTGATGCTTTGTAACTAATTGATAGTACAAACTATTATTCTAACACTGAAGACTTACAGGTAAGAAGAGGAACACTTTTTTGTTAGATAAGTTATTAAGCTGAAATATAAAAATTATTTGATTAACCTGAAAGGTGACGTTTCCCCCCCCCCAGTGTTTTGATGACTTCGAAAAGTATCTCAAGACAAGTGACAAGTGTGTTGCTTATTAAATGACCAAATTGAATGGTATTCATGGTGTGTTGTGAATACAGCGGAGTTCGAATATGCACGATTATCCGATTATAAATCGAAAATCGATTAAAGACATAATTCCGATGGAAATTAGATCTTTTCACACATGATAAAGATGTACAGAATAGGAAGGAAAAAAACCAATGCTCTGGATTATTTTTTTTGGCAACTGTTCAATAATCAAGATAAAAACTGTTTCCAAAACTGGTATGGAGAGCCAATTAGAAGTAGCAAAAGGTCAGTCTATAGTAATCAGAAATCACCCCAAGGTCAAGTGCTTTTCGTTGGGGTCAATGGGCCAGTTTTATAAGGATAGAGTGGTATACATGAATGAGTATTTGTGCAATTCATTCGTTAGTTCAATAGACTTCCTCGCTCACTTTTGTGCCCTCGCTCAAGTAGTCAGTTGAGGGTTAGTGTGTAGCACACCGTGTTTCAGTATCAGATTTCGGACACTGTGCATCACAATAAAAACAGAGAATGCTATTTTTTTAGAAGAAAAAAACTATTTTAAGTCATTTGAAAGATACAACTAATGATTCACGCAATCTGATTAAGGTAATCTATGAATGGGTTCATGCAGAAAACAACAAGTAACAAGTATGATTCTACTGACAATAACAATTACAGAAGTTTTTTTCTTCGTTGTTTGAATCTTCTCACTGATATTTAGGACTGTAATTGATCAGTCTCTTATTGGCATATATGCATCCGGTGCGGATTGCCTAGATATTGTTTCAGGTCACAAGCATTATAAGCAGAGATGATGGTTTATAATTATAATAGTTGTTTTAAAACATCAACTTATTTGTCAGTAACCCTAAACATAATCATACAAAACAGAACACTTCACATGTAATCGAAACCAAATTAAACAACTAGGACTCACTTGTAAATTTTGTGACAAACGAACAAAATCAGCTTGAACCGATTCCACATTGTCTAAATCATTTTGCAACCGAATAACTTGATCTTGCAGATCAATAATTCTTTTCTGAGCTTCAGTTAAATTAGTTTCAGTTAGTTCATATTTAGCCTTTTAAAAAGAATACAACAAGATCTATAAATAAAATTTAATTACAAAGATATCATATGCTGTTGAAAAGTCAGAAAGATAACATGGTGTCTAAGGAAGATATCGTAGGTAAAAGATGTATGTACAGGCGGGTTAATATGAGTGAGTAAATCGCTCAATTAGCCAAGGACATCGGGCAAATTTTGTTAAAGTATCGACGACTGTACCGTAGTCTTATTGTCATTGGAAAAAAGTTGTTACATCAGTAGGATGACGATGTTTTTTGAATAAATGTCATTAATCTACTCATGTATATAGAATTTGTCTGAATCAATCGCCCGTTAACATCGCTATCACTTAAAAAAGGGTTCTAGCAGTAACCTCTGGAATTACCAAGTATTGTAAAGGAAAAAAATTTGTTACATCCCAACTTGGAATCATTTGAGAGTGGTCCAAGTAAATTTACGTTTAAATCGGGCTATCTACAGCACATAACGCAGATATGAAAGTAGTGTAGAAACATGTTGACATATTGTAGTTTCTCTGTTCGCGGATGCTCACTCATATACCAAATTGAATTCACGGGCTTTAGGTAATTTTTTAATTTGTCAAGGCTGAAGAATAAATGAATCCGTAGGTGTTTTACATTCAAGTGCACAGCCACCTCAAGCAACAGTGAGTACTGGTGAATTGCTGTGGGTTATGCTCCAAATATCTTTCTCTGGATTAAATATAATTGGTTAGTGAGGTTTTGAATCTTCGTTGACTGTGGTGCTTGACTATTACGACAGACAGAGTAAGCTAGTGTATGAGTAAATTGCACGAGATCTGAGGGTGGTCAAATTAAAACATGGCATTAGTTCGTGGAAACATTCATTATCGGTCCAAGTCATGTTGGTAAATGTAGAATACTTGGTTGGGGGTTGCATGATAACTACAATTAGAGGTTCGGGACTTTGGATGACATGGTTTAGAAAAGGTTATAGTAAGAAGATTCACTCACTCTTTATAGAAATTGAGATCATGAGTTCCAATATTCTTTTACACATATATTATCTGTCTTTTCGGTCTGCATTCTCAGTGTTTAGACTTTAACATCGTTACTTTTACTACATTATTTTGTTTTAGCTATTCGTCCTAATATAGCATGACAATTTGGACCAATGTATATTTATGCTAGGTCCTATATAGATTATGAATAACTGATTAACTGTTATGACAATGATGATAGGAAAAAAGTAATAATCTATATGCATATATAAACACGCACCTGTAATTCATTCAACTTAGATTTGGAAATTTTTAATTCATCTTCACATTTCTGTCTTAGAACAGTTTCATTATCACGTTCAGTTGTAATATTGACAAGATCCGCAAGACGTCTACGTGCTTCTTCCAATTCTTGTAGAATTGACGATTCAAAATTAATACGCTCTTGTTGTTCATTTGCTAGCTGTTCTCTGTGAGTTTCAGTCTCCTTCTTTAAGCATTCCTCTAAATGATCACGTGCTTCACTTTATTGTGAAAATGAAATACACTGACAATATGTGTACATTTAAATGTATATAAATGAATTTTCCAGTGATGTAAATTAGCATTAATTCAAATGATCAAAATGTATTGATCACAGTACTTTAATTGAAACAAAGATTAATCTGTTTATCAGTATGGGGATCATGGAAGCCATTGAATTCTATTGAGATCAAAAAATGCCTCAGTTAAACAAACATTAAGAAATTAAGACCATTGGGCAGTCGTTTTGTCCCAGAATGGAACTCATCGACAGTGGAAATCTGTGACTTCGCCAATAGAAGGCGCATACTATGGAGGAGTCCCATCCCAGGACGAAAGAGCCAATCAATGCTTGCAGATCTTCAATGGTTCTCCAACCTATAGGGCTTGTGACTTCAACAAAATTAATATGGATTATTTACGTCTCCTAATTAAAACTTGGATTCGTACTACTCTGCTGCATGCTCTAAATAATTTTTCATTGGACAAAATTTATTCTGTTGTTGCTGGATAGACCGGTACTAATCACTCAAGCTTTTTAAATTAAAATTTCAGATTGTTTAAAATTTACCTAGAGATGTATTTTACTAAATAGTAGTATCTTCTTTCTTATATTATTATTATTTAAGGTATTGTTTTTAGATATTTTTTCAGCTTACTTATAATGCAGAGAAACGACCGCAATACTAACCGAGGCATTTGCATATCGCGGTAAAAATCTTATCTGATAATGATTAACAATTCAAAAAGAAACCATTTGCTTGTTTTACACATTCGGTAACTAGCTCCCACCATCAGTTAAAGAAATAAATAGGACCAATATGTGCACACTTGCAAAGCAGCACTATTAAACAAAAAGGGAATACGTCCTAGAGAAAAATTATCCATAACGTGTTACGGAATTTCTGAAGTACCACAAATAATTAAGTATCCGGAACAGTTTTTAGAAGGAGGAAAGTTTATCATAGTTAATGGGTTAATTACGAAAACTGATCATAGTAAAAACACATACAAAATCGGAACCTATATATAAGTATTGACTAGGAGAAGTATCTCAGAAACAGTAAATCCTGAGAAGATCCATTGATTATTGGGTAATAATATACAACATACGTGTAGGTCCGTTTAAATAAACCATACACACTTTCGGTCGAGCATTTATCACGAAGGAGTAAAGATATACTGTAGAAATCCCCTTCTAAGTCTATTATTCGTGCGGATTCAGTGATCTCATAAATGAAATCACCACACACTGACATAAGTTAGTGCAGATTAATTATTCATTCAGTCAACAATGCAGAAAATATGAGTTATCACTCGTCAAATTATTTTGAACTCGATATCAGTAAGCGGGAAGATCGATATAATTGAAAATTATTTAGGTTTGTTTATTGCATAATATGAGGTTAGTCTGTTCCACTCCCAGCTACATCTCACGTATCTGATGACTATTGATGCTGTCTAGATGGAGTGACGTTGAAGGTTAACTACTTCAACTACCAAACCATTGATGCATAATTAAGTGGCATAAATCACATAGTGTGCTTTGAAAGATAAACAATAAATATCATGACAAATCTGCTCAACAAATGTACATTATAACCTTGAGAACAATGTTCATGTTCATGGAATTATACTAAACTGAAGAACTAATTAGATGAACGAAAACGAGCTCGTGAAAATTCAATATCCCGTGACGGTTAGCTTGTACGTAGTTAGAAGTTGCTGCTACCTTGACGTGGTGGTCCGCCTTGCCTATCGTGATGATCCAATCGAGCTATGCTGGCTGGAACAATCGTTCCTCAAGGTCCTACCATGCCAGACAGGTCGGTTGAAGAGCGGTGAGACTAAAAGCAGCAATCCCAAGGTCCGAAGGCGAAGTCGTACTGCTGACTGTACAAAGGTGTGAAAGCAGTAAGGTGTTTCCTTCAGACAACCAGCATGACAGCGATGCTGCCTTCCCACATGGAGGGGTGGGGTTAGAAAAGGTCGACCCTAAAAATGCACACCTCGCCTTATCCCACGGATTTCCGTCTCCGGCGGTAAGGACTTTTGAAGAACGGAGCTAACACATCAAAAATCCCCCACAAAAAGGCCGTGCGTGACCGGCCTCAAGCAGAAGTCCCTTGGGCACTGCGGTCACGCTCCCAGGTCGTTAAGACCAACACTAACCCAACTTCTTTTTCAGGTCCCTCAAGAAATACCCTTCCACGGTGTGGGCAGCCGGGAAGTGATACTAGCCCTCATACCCTTAACTGCACACAAGACCAAGTTGGTCGCTTTCAAATCCTTCCTACACCTAATAACTCTGTTATCTCCACGACTAACCCTTCCCACGTCCTTTTATCACGTCGCACCGCTAGGGCAAACGATTCGAGTACACAGAACGTTATTCCTGGTCTCCTGAAACCACACTCTAAACTACATATAGGAACTTTTAATGTCCGAACATTGTGCCAAATAAGACAACAGGCTTCCTTAGCTAGGACTCTAGAATCTTACACCATCGACGTGTGCTGCGTCTCCGAAACGCGCATACAAGATCCGAGTAGTGTCATTCATTTGACCGCACCTAATCAAAATAAAGAACCATCTCGATACACGCTCCGTGTATCTGGAAGCCCTGACGCTGCTTCCCGTGGCCTCGCTGGAGTAGGTATAGCATTAAGTCCTAGGGCAGAACTAGCTCTTTTAGACTGGATCCCAGTAGACAGTCGTCTATGTGCTGTCCGACTAAACGGATCAGTAAGGACCCGGAAAGATAGGGAAACTCTTCGTTGCCTCTTGGTCGTCTCTGCCTACTCTCCCACTGACTGCAGCTCAGACGATATAAAAGATGAGATCTACAGGAAACTTTCTGACCTTCTCCGAGAAGCTAGGCGTTCTGATGTAGTAAGAGTAGCAGGTGACTTTAATGCTCAAGTAGGTAAACTAAGTGAAAGGGAAAGACACCTGGGTGGATCTTATGGTGTCATGGCGAAAAGAACAGATAATGGCGACCGTCTGTTGCAGCTATGCTCAGATAACCGCCTATTTCTTGCAAATACTAACTTTAAGCATAAGGAAAAACATCTTTTGACATGGCGACCCCCGAATTCGCCCCAACGTTGGACCCAATTAGATCACATCGCTATCAGCCACCGATGGAGGGGCTCGATAGAAGACTGTCGCTCATTCTGGGGCACATGTTTAGATTCAGATCATGCTCTAGTGCGAGCACGTATCTGTCTGCGTCTTACTGGTCGTAGGAAAGACACTGCAGGGAAGCCTCTAAGGGTTCTACTTAATGATAGGCAAGCTAAGAATATATTTCAGGAACAACTAGAAAAACAGTTAGGCAGCCATGTAAGTTGTGTCCACCCCGAGGCAGCGTGGAATGACATCCGAAAAGCTGTGGAAACAGCAGTGATATCCGCTAATAAGGTAAACCATAACGTTAGGGAGAAACAATGGATCTCGGCAGCATCTACCGCACTGATAGATGCTCGTAAACTCATCCCACCTGGCTCTGAGCATAACGAAGAGCGGAGTCAACTTAATCGCAGGCTTATAAGAAGTCTACGTAATGATCGTGAACAGTGGTGGGTAGCGAAAGCAAGAGAGATGGAAAAGGCAGCGGCAATAGGTAACAGTAGGCAGCTATTCAGACTCGTTAAAGAAACCGGTATTAGGAACCCGAATATCAGTGAAACCATCTCAGATAAAGATGGGCATATTATTCATTCTCAATCCAGGAGATTGGATCGATGGGCAGAACACTTTAGGGATCAGTTCAACTGGCCTTCAGCCACACTTCAATTACCCACGATCCCCAGTCGTCCTGAATGGCAAATTGATGTAAGTCCTCCAACCCTCTGTGAGGTTGAAAAAGCTATAGGAAATCTGAAGCGAGGGAGAGCAGCAGGCCCTGACAGGTTGACCCCTGAGATTTTTAAGGATGGTGGTCCAGTACTAGCAGTGAGATTGACTGAGGTCTTAGGTAGAATCTGGGAACTGGACGTAATTCCATCTGACTGGTCCCAATCACTGATTGTGCCAGTCTATAAGAAAGGACAAAAGTCCTCCTGTGACAATCACAGAGGGATCAGTTTGACTAATATAGTGTCTAAAATATTAGCTTCAATAATACTAGGTCGCCTAACCAAAGCTCGTGAAGAGCAGACTAGAGAAAAGCAGACTGGTTTTCGACCTGGACGTGGTTGCATAGACCAGATATTCACCCTACGTCAGGTTCTAGAACATAGACACAAATTCAGACGTCCCACAATAGTAGTGTTTCTTGACCTTAAGGCGGCATTTGACTCCGTTGATCGTGAGGTTCTATGGCAATGTTTGTCACTGAAAGGAGTACCAAAGAAGTACATTAATCTCATAAAGGCTCTCTACTCGAACACAACTGGTCGAGTTATAGCCTATGCCGAACTGTCATCAGAACTGATTACCACAAGTGGCGTTCGTCAGGGCTGTCCACTCTTCCCATTCTTGTTTAACTCTGTAATTGGCATACTTTTAGAGATAGCACTTTCATCAGCTAAACCTCCAGGAGTTGAACTTTTACCGGGAGATTCACTTGTTGACTTAGAATACGCCGACGACATAGTTTTACTCGGTGAAGACGCTGACAACATGCAGAGTCTTCTGACTACTATAAGCAACTATGCAGGCATGTTCGGGATGCGATTCTCTCCCTCGAAGTGCAAAATGTTACTTCAGGATTGGGTTGCATCAACACCTGAACTAATGATAGGGAGTGAAGTAGTTGAGCGTGTAGACCACTTCACTTATCTTGGGAGTCTCATCAGCCCTTGTGGTCTGGTATGTGACGAAATCTCAGCACGGATACAGAAGGCTCGTCTAGCTTTCGCCAACTTGCGTCATTTATGGCGTAGGCGAGATATCCGTCTAGCAACCAAAGGACGGGTTTACTGTGCAGCAGTTCGCTCCGTCCTACTCTATGGCAGTGAAACATGGCCAATAAGAGTAGAGGATATTCGTAGGCTACTAGTGTTCGATCATAGGTGTCTTCGAAGCATTGCTCGTATATCCTGGGACCACCGGGTAAGTAATGCAGTTGTTAGGAAACGAGTACTAGGTAGGGATGGCAAATCGATTGATGAAGTAGTGAAACTTCATCAGTTGAGATGGCTGGGACATGTGTTACGTATGCCCGACCACCGACTGCCCCGACGTGCAATGTTTCATGGTGTAGGAGTAGGTTGGAAGAAAGCTAGGGGTGGCCAGACCAAAACGTGGCACAAATCAATGAAGTCACTGACAAGTGGACTGGGCCATGTTGGTAGGTGTAGACTACCTGGTTGGGATTCGCGAGATGACAGCAACCGATGGTTAGAGACCTTGAATGACATGGCTCAAAATCGTTTGCAATGGCGAAGGTGCATCCACTCTTTGTGTTCTACCAAATTCTAATCTTCTGAATTCCTCATGTCTTTATCTTTTTCTCTTTCCAAATTTATTTCACTGTACTATACTCCTTCAATAATTTCTTCAAACCCTAATCTTTTGGATTTCTGATTATACTCCTACTACTTCTACCACTATGGGATTTGAATCGACAACTGCATCTCTGTGCTAATGTGGTATGGCAACTCGAACTGATGTACGTACGTACGAAGTTCTACGTTGTGACTGACTGACTGACTGATTAGTTACGGAAACACTAAGAATAATTAGATGTGGCAAAACTGAAGAATAAGAACAAACTTAAGCTATTACAAAAATGACCCCGAGAAAAGAATTAGGTTTTCCGGAGAAAAAATAACAGAAAACAAATAACATTTATATAACATTTTGACATTGCTCATTAGGCTTTCAAAGTAGCTTAAACAGTGTTCAGATTTGAGATTACAGAGCTGACTGCGTAAAGAACTTTTCATAAGAGAAAAAGCCATAACTCGTAACCATAACACAAACTGATAGCTGTGTCTAATCTTGATAACAGTTTTTCAATAAGTAAAAAAGAAACCAAAAGCAAACAAATATGGAAACCGTTGCATTTATATAACAATCCAATGACCATACAAAATTGAAAATAACTGTTACAGGGGTTGAGGAAAACTAATTCTAGTGATAAATACTGTACATATACGTAAATATTTTAGAATATAACACGACAAACCTGTTACAACACACGCGTAGAAATTAGTAAGAATACAACTATTTACTGAATGTTGATAACTAGTTTAGGACAATACACAGAAAAATCGAGCTGGTGGGAGAAAGATTAGGACAAAGACCGAAAACAAACACTTAACATAGGACTACGAGAGTAAATTTTCTATTACAGAGAAAAAATCACTGAGAAAAGTAACAGAAAAAAATTACACTTACCGAAATGATAAGTTTTCTTCATATAATTTTAACGCCAAATGTTCTAATTCATCTTTTTCATTTGGTAATTGTATTGGTTGTCTACTTAATTCAATAGCAGCTTGTGAACGTCTACCAACGAGTGCATCATAATGTGAACGAAGAATTTCTAGATTTGAACTAGCAATTTTGCGCTCAAATAATAAAGTGGATATTTCTTTTTCAGTTGTTTCACGATAAGACTACAAAAAGAATTAACCAAAATAATCAAATATGTTCAATGAGCAATAATCAAGAAAAAAAAGAAACGAAAGGAACTACAGTAAATAAACAGGAGTAACTATAAAGAAGAGTTTGTAATTCCCTTTTATTGTTAACACTTATGACTGCAACTGTAGGAAATAATGGTTATTTCCCCTTTTATCCCTTTAAACAAAGTCAACTAAGTCTTATCGAAAAACGTAGAAAACTCATTACAATGAGGGATAAACCCCACAACCATTATACATACAGAAACTCTAGTGGTAAGTTGATATTTGTTACTTTAAAAACGGCCTCATAGAATGCAATAGAACCTCCACAAAGTATATAAATTTTGTGTTCTAGATCTTATCAAAGACATACATGTACCATAATCAGTAAATTTAAACATTGCTGTCGGGCTAGTACTATGAACATGAAACAGGGAACAGTACCAGTGAATAGAGATGATAAAATAGACATGAAGTAGTCAAAAGTGGCAGGTAAGAAAGAATCGCTCTAGTTTCAGACACATCGATTAAACAAAATACTGGATATTGCACATATATTTTAGTCTTTGGAAAAAAACTACTAAAGTGGTAACTAATTAGTCACAAAAAGAGCGCCTTGTAATAATTCCTAAAGAGCAATCATTTTTACGCCCCAACACTAAGAAGTGATTATGAATCATGGGTAACCGTATAGCTGTCTTATTTCTAGTGGTTCATACTCCTATTTATATACGAGGTTGGATACAGAAACTTCTCACTATTTAAAACATGATAAAGCAACTTATTAGATAATTTACGGAGACGGATGAGTAATGAGTTGTACATTAACCATGACAATAAGAAACGTTAGATGATTCTGGTACAAATAGAATCAACTAAAAATCCACCAATAACTGTGAAAATACGTGGTATTGTAAAAGAATTATTGTTAAATGACTAAATGAAATCAATAAATAGAAAACTAACTTTGTAATTTAACATCAAATCATCTAATTGTTGACCCAACTGATTAGAAATTGTACTAATTTTCTCTATTTTAGATGTTTGTTCAAAAACTTGAGTTTTAAGGGTATTTTCCAACTCTAACTGACGATTTGTAGCAACTTTCAAAGCGTGGTTTTTCAAATCTAATTCATTTTTAACTGTGTAAAGCTGCTTTTGTAAATTTTTCTAAATACAGTGTTTATTAAGAAAAAGACAAACAAAATCTGATATTACACATAACCAAAATTGCTGGTGTTTTTTAGAAAATACTGAACGGTAAGAGTTTAAATTTACTTCGAAAACCCTTGTTCATTTTTATACGATTTTTCGGGAAAAGACATTTTCGGAACTCCTTTGAGTATTCAACAAAGACCACATACTATGTGCACACAGGATTGTGGTAAAGGTCCAGTGGTCAAGGCGTTCAAGTTTCAACCACAAACTCGCTCACCAATTATAAGTTGTTTTGTTTTAAAAACAGACAGAATAATACAGATGGAGTTAAATTTGCTTCGACCATGATTTGTCAGTCTGATTCGACAGAATTAAGAGATATGCTTTAACAAAATAATTTTAGGCAAAAAAATCCTAAATAATACAACTTTCAACTTTACATTAGGGACATAGGTAATAATATCGGTTATATTTAATACTGCATGTTTAGTACAATATGAAGTTCTCAGGATCCAATACTTCAAACGATCACTGATCAATATATATATATATATATATATATATATATATATATATATATGGAATAAGTATGTGAAATTATATAGAATTCAGTGGATATTTTATCAGATAATAATCTTTGCAACGATGAATACGCCGAACGCTTAAAACCATACATTTTCTGCTAGGTCAGCCCTCACAATCTGTTCATTAGATAATATATGTGCTCGAAACGGCATTGTGGAGCTTTTGTATCTCTGTGTGCATAAATTTAAATATACTTGGGTTACGTTTGTCAGAAGTCATATAAAGGGAAAGATATGAATGTAATGTCGTGTGTAATGTAATGTTGAAAACAGATCCCTTAGCTGAACTTCGTGTTTTAATTTTAATGTTTGAATGGAAATTATATACCAAAAAGATATGAATGTACCTGATAAACCAGTGCCCGGTCGTTGTTTGCAAGATTTTAAATGTCTATTCACAACTATATTTATTATGACATCATATAGTGATAAAAATATATGCTCATCAGTGATGAATTTTAATAAGACATTAAGATTTAACAGTGTCGAGAATAAAGTAGTCTATTCACACAGTCACCATTGGTTGATCATTGCACAATGTTCTGAACTGATGGGAGATAGAAATGTGAACTTTTAAGTTCCAACTCTTGGACCAATAGTGAAAACACTTAACTTTATATTTACGATAACACATATAACGATACTAATGAGGATAACAATAAACACAGAAAAGTAAATAAATAAACAAACCATTGTATCGGTTAGGTAGATTTGCCCTTCAAAAGATGTAGAATGATCACATATTGATTGTGTGACAACAGTCGATTGAGTATTTTCATCATCATCATCATCAGAATTGACATGATCATTACAATTATCGGGTGATTTGTGCACAGAATGTTTTTCTGCTATTTGGTCACATGATCGCTTAATTAGATTACTTGGATTACTACCAGGATCAACCACATTATCAGTATTACTGTTATTATTATTGTTATTATTATCAATACTGTTTCCAGAAACTTCTATCTTCATATTTGAATTATGAAAACTTTTGTTGACAATTTTCCCTTCTGATAATTTATAACTTGTTGCTGAATCTAAAAAAATTTATCATTTTCATGATACGAATAAATGATGTATAATATGAAGGGTATTTACACTAAAAATTGACAAAATATTGGTGAACCTTTGAAAATCACACAGCAAACATTGTTTTATGCTAGATACGTACAAAACATGAGTTTGAACTAGCGACCTTACCTATGTGACACTGAACTTAAGCTTCTTATTTTTTTAGTCTTAAAAAAAACACATTATATACTCATTGAACTAATAATGATATCCAACATTCGGTAGTGGTTAAATAACAAATACCTTCAAATAAAAGACTAGATCATTTGCTATCAAGAAGAGTTACAACCTTGTCGACAATCTTACTGATAAAAATAGGGAAATATAAAATGCACACAGTAACGTTAAACTTCATTCAAATATGATAAATTAGAATATTGATTGTTGTCAAGATTATATGTACCTTCGTTAACAAAAAAGGAATATAACTGATACAACAAAATTAGTACAATTTAATTCACCTCGAAAACACCAATGATTTAAGCATTGAATTTTAAACTAATAAATAGACGGGACAGAAGAACAATCAGACAAACAAACACTAGTAAATACAAAAGAGCAGAATATCAAGATATCACACCATCATCACCAGCAGCAATCATGCCACAAGATTTTTGGAATGATAAAGAGAAGAACAATTGTTTTTAAGTTATCCATATTTATTTTTAATTAATTGACCACTAATCCAGTTAATATAACAGGTAACTAACTGACATCAGCAAATAATCGATTAATTAATCAACTAAAAATCTTAATTTTGACTGGAAATAAAACGTTGGAATTGATTAAGTCATCATGACATACAGATTTCTGCATGATTACACCTAAACAGTTTGCTTTTATTTACTTTGAAATTAACGTACTAATAAACAAAGAGAAAATGAGGATGTAAACAAAGAAAACTGGAATGACCTAAAGAGATTTGACAAAAAAAGAATTTGTCGAATCAAACTACATTTGGTTACATTTCCAGGTAACGTGACTCACACAATCTGTTGTAGTGGCGAACAGATAAATCCCAAGACTCTGAATTTCAATATTATTAAATAATTTCATCCCGAAAATTCACTCCTTTTTTTCTCGAACTCCTTCATATTTAAATTCGTTGTAGCATCACTGATTATTTCAACTCCTTTGGTATTTATCTACCCTGCTTTGTTGATGCGATGTGACAATACGGGCTGACGGACATCTATACACCGAGTCTTATATTGATGATAGCTGACTAAACGTTTCACGATCATTTTATAAAACAAAAAACACATTTAATAGGCTGATGATGAATGAATTTATGTTAGAATAAGTGAACAATGTAATTTTTGTCCTGAAATCGAGAAAAAATCATCAAAAAAAAAACACAGAAAACTAGCAAACCAAAACAAATGCAAATCGTAGTCAGATAATAAAGTGAATAGGATGTGAAGCCTGATGACAGCACTTTTCGCCAAAATATTTACGCGATGGGAATGTTTAACTAATTAATGACGTCATTGGACATGAAGTATTGACATAACAATTTATAGCTACGAAATAAAAAATCGCAATAGTTTAGTTATAAAACTCAAACAACAAAAGGAATACTTAAGATTATTATTTATTGATCGAGAATCTTCCGGCTTCAGTAGCTGAAGCACTCTCGATTACCAACGACTAAGACTTCAGGTTCGAATCCAGTTATACCACCTATTTCTATCTAGCCAGCCGAATAACAAGACTGCTCCCACCATAATCTTTAAAGTATAACTCAAAGACAATTACATAAACCTATATTTGGGAAATAAGTACCATAATAAAGTAAGTTACAATATTATTTTGATTTAATCGATATACTACTAAATTGATGATAAATAAAATTTTTAAAGTGATTTGTAGAATGATAGCATGAATGCAGTACACAATAGATGTTGAATTATTTTGATTTCTACAATACTATAATATTACTGTTTAAAATGTTTTGTTTGATGAATTGTATACCATTCTTACGGTTTAATTTACGAGTTGATCTAAGCTAAACCACCATTGGAAACCTCGAGGCACTTGTTGGGTGAGACTATTATCCACCTCGGAGAATGAACTACGAGTTGCGCAAGATCATGGATCGATTGAAGTTAGACGTTAACATAGTTGGATGCTGAATCAGTGGTCTAGACGTTAATCGTTCTTGTGCGAAACCGAAGGTCTAGGGTTCGAGTCCCGTGTGCGGAGTCGTGGATGCGCACTGCTAAGTAGTCGTATACTTAGATGGGACGGTACTCCAGTGCTTCCAAGTTTTCAGTGGTGGTCTAGCTTAAATCAACTCGTGCATTCAACCGTTAAAAGCACTACAATCTCCAGAAATCCTCACTCTGAAAATATAATTATATTTATCATATGCTGAGAAGTAAGTCATGATCTTATCTGAACATGATGGTGTTATAACGCGGCGTTTAATAAATCCACATGAACTCAGAAACTTTAATTGTTAAGCAGAGATGGATAGTGGCTAGCAGTGGAATCCGTCCTATTTGGGACTCGTCAGCTGGATGTACCTGCATCTCAGAGTTGGTGTTCACTCTGGGACTTGAACCCAGTACCCTCGCTTCAAACGCCATCGCGTTATCCACTCGGCCACTGAGTCCTGATTCAAACAAACAATACTGAATGAATTTAAAGTTTAATTGTTTAGTCAAGAACCAGATATCAATAATAACAATAACACTACATAGAGTAGGAACCGATAGAAAAACAATTAATATAGAATAGTCTACAATATATTTCTATAGTACAAAAGAGTTTATCTATCTATCACACTTACTAGCCAATTATAGTTTGGTTTGATCAAACGTTCCAAATGGAGTAATTAGGCTCTCAAACTAACTTGATGTACCAATACATTTTCTAGCAAAGTAGCTTAAGTAAAAAATAATTTGATGTCATTCGTCGAATATATTGTACACAGATTGATAATCAATTAAGTAAATTTACCAATTGAGTAGGAAGTAAAAAAGACTCCAGATGCCGTGGTACGGCCGAGAGTGGGGAGAGCCCACTCCATTTCGAAATGCTCTCACATGGCCATGTGCATACAACTGCTCCCACTTAAGTCCTACTCACTGCCTTCTCGCGGCAAGGGTACTGTTTACGAAATTGAGAGGACGAAAAGCGAATGTTCGGCGCTTTAATTAGGTTGGTGGATACAGAGAATCCACCTAGGGGAGTTGGAAAACCTTGATTCCAAACCAATGGTGCACATGGGCTCCAGTATCCTGAGGGAACAAATGGCGTATGAATCAATCGTTGGTCACCGGCTACCATGAGACTGCATCTCCTTACGATGCTCCACTGCCTTGTGGATCATACTTTTAGGTCAAAGGCTCGGGATGTGACTCCCTAAGAAAATCACCCGCTTTGGTCTGGGCACCCGGGCAGCGTACCAGCCCTCATACAAATTGAATGATTTATGTGGCGCATATTTATTTGGTGCCTCATTGTGCCAATGTTTGTGTTTAAATAATAAACAATAATAACAGTAGAAAACAAAATCACTTCAATGTTTCTTCTAATAAACTGTACACAACTGATGCCAAGTACTAAACACGAAACTCATGTATAGTGAAAAATTAACAATCGTTCAGTGAATAATATTGGAACACAACAACGTATAGAAGAAAAAGACATACTGCAAACGTCCACTAGAATATTGTAACTTGTCTATAAAAATTCATTCTACATGTTAAGCACGATATACATAATTCGTTTTTAAAAATCAATGTTTACGTACAGTTTTTTCTAAAATTAATAATATTGATAAGAATTTTAATTGGCTTTCCTAAGAATATTAGTAGCGTATAATAAACTATACTAGCAATAATTGTGTAGACCCTAGCGTCGAACTCCGAGAGGTAATTTTTCAGATTCTAGTCAGAAGCCTGGACTAGTGGAGTTCAATCGTACCACAAATGAGGCAGCTACTCACCAATTAGAGTGAAAGATAGTTGCGTAATAGCATGAATCTATTAACGTTAGAAATGTAAACCATTAGCTCGCAACTCAGTGATTTTCAAGTTAAGAACTCGCTGGGAAGCCTGTCAGTCCTAGGTTCAATCACTGATAGGTGCTGAAGAGTCTCATAAAAGAAAAAACAACTGTCTAGTGCCTCCTTTCTGGCTTTCATGGTTTGGCCAATTAAGATCAATTTGTTATATAAGTTGTACAATTACAAAGAATGGTATAAAAAAGGTTACGAATTAAATTTTTATTTATTCAAACACATATATATAGGTACAAAAGGGCACCAGATACATATGCGCCACACAAAATAATGAAGGTAGTAAGAGAAGGGATGAAAAGATAAGGCGGACTGAAATGTACAACCAGAAGACTCTTTCAGTTAAGAAAGTTAGAACCACTCTTTATGTAGAAAGTAAAAGAAGGTTGCAGCAGGATCGCCACTGGCTTCTATTCTGAGCCATATCTGATAACGTCTCTAGCCACTGTGTTGTACCATCTCTCGGACCCCAGCCAGGGAGTCGTGAAGGACCAACAGAAGCTAGCCCTTTGCAACTTTCTTTCATACCACGAAACCATGTCATACACTGACCTCCTCTCCGCTTTTTCCAACCAGTCCCAGAGTCGGCAAATAATGCAGGACGTGGAAGTCTCTGGGACGACATTCGTAAAACATGTCCAAGCTACCGAAGTCGGTGTTTCAAAATGGTGACACCAACTGAATTATTGTCTCTGCGCCCCAACACACGATGCCGAACCTCTGCATTATTAATATGGTGTTGCCACTGGATGTCAGCAATCCTTCCCAGACAACGATGATCGAACACAGAGTCGTCTAACATCCTCAACTCGGAGAGGTCAGGTTTCACAAGCATAGAGCAAAACTGCTCTCACCGACACGTTGTAGATCCGACCTTTTACAGCCAGATTAAGTATGACGGTGTTCTAACATTTGGCGGAGGGTGAAGATGTGATCAATGCATCCTCGACCAGAACGAAAACCAGCCTGCTCCTCGCGAGTCAATCGTTCTCGGGTTTTAAACAACCTACGAAGAATGACAGAAGCCAATAGTTTGGACGCAATTGGAAGTAGACTTATCCCCCGATAGTTGTTACAGGAACAACGTGAACCCTTTTTAAAGAAAGGGACGACTATTGACTCATTCCATGATGTTGGAACACTTTCTTGCTCCCAAACCTTTGCAAACAACACTGTCAGTTCCTTAGCCAGAAATTCACCACCATCTTTAAAAAGAGCCGGAGGTAAGTCATCTGAGCCCGATGATTTGTAGCGCTTCAAGAGTTGGAGTTCCTTGCGGACTACCGCCTCGTTTGGTGGATCAGTCGTCTCCGGCCATAGGGGGCAGGACAAGCTGGTTGATGTTGCCGTAGCAGCAGGCCAGTTGAACTGCCCTTCGAAAAATTCCGCCCATCGTCCAAGACGTCGACAGATGTTAGTGATTGGCATCCCGTCATCCTCAAATATTGTATCACTCACACACTTCTTGCTGCCAGTGGCTCGGATGAGTTGGAAGAGCTTCCGGCAGTTTACAGATGCAGCTGCTGCTTCCAGCTTATTAGTACCATCCGACTACCAGGCTTCTCGGTCCTTACGCAAGCTTTGCCCAATTTCACTACGTAACAGCCTTCGTTTGTGGTCAAACTCACGGTCACCCGGAGTAGACCAACGGACTTCCATCAGTTGTAAGGAGCCAGAAGAAACCCAGTGCTTGTAAGCGGGACGTTTCGCGAGGCCGCAAGCGGCTTTACTTGCCATTTTCATGGCGTCGTGAAGATGCAATCAATGCTCATCTATACTTTTCGGTGGGATGGTAGCTAGCCTAGAGGCTAGCTCCGCTCGATACTTACTTGCAACAGATGTTACAGCCAGTTTACTAACATCGATCCGTTGTTGGTGGTCAGTCCTTCGGCCACTGAAAAGTAAGGTGAGATTGGCACAGACCAGGGCATGATCAGACTCCAGATAGGTACTCCAAAAGGAGCGGCAGTCTTGTACACAACCACGCCAGCGGTAGCTGATCGCGATGTGACCAATCTGAGTCTAGGCTTGAGATGCAGAGGGAGGACGCCAGGTGGCACACCGGCGATGACTGTGCCGGAAGTTAGTGCTAGCCAGAAACAGGTTGTGGTCTGTGCACAGTTGCAGCAAACGGTCCCCGTTATCTGTCCTGCGACCAACAAGTCCCCATCGGCCACCTAAACGACTCTCTTCTGTGCCTAGACGCCCGACCTGTGCACTCAAGTCTCCGGCTAATACTACAATATCTGTCGAACGCGCTTTCTGGAGAAAAACAGTTAACTGGTGGTAAAACTCATCCTTGATTGCATCCGGGCTGCAATCTGTCGGGGCATAGGCGGAGATGACGAAAAGACACCGTTTCTCACGCCGGTTTCTTCTCATTTTGATGGAACTTTCTAATCTAACAGCACATAACCGACTGTTAATGGGGATCCAATCGATTAGTGCTGCCTCAGCCCTAGCGCTTAGTGCAACACCAACGCCTGCAAGACCAGACGAAGATGCCACAGGGTCCCCGGATAAGCGCACGTGAAACAAGCTTTTCGAAGCGACAGATGGAGAGCGAATTTGTAGTACTTCATTAGAGTCTTGAATATGGGTCTCGGATAGACAGCAAACATCAACATTAAGACTTTCTAAAGACATAGCCAGCCCCATCTGTTGTCCGGTCTGCATTAGTGTGCGAACGTTGAAGGAAGCCAGCTTGAAGGGCGTACGTGGTTTCAGAAAGACTGCTTCAGTATTCGTAATCGGTGGAAGCATTCACTTTCAACCAGACAGTGACTGGAGATCCTTTAGATAGGACAGAGTTTCCACCATGGGCGAGCTACTGCATAAGTTGGAAAGGAAGGATACACAATTTGGGAATAAAGGGAGTGAAAAAGCGACGTAGTAAATAATAATAATAATAATAATAATAATAATAATAATAATAATAATAATAATAATAATAATGGTAATGGTAATAATAATAATAATGGTAATAATAATCATAATGTAAATCGTCTTTCTTCTATTAGGAACGAGAGCAGTGTAGTTAGTGTAGTGCGTCACTTCATGTCATTTGTGTGTGGGCTGTGATACTGCCCGGGTGCCCAAACCGAAGCAGGTTGTTTTTTTAGGGGGCCACACCCCGAGCCTTTGACCTAAAGGTCTGATCCACAAGGCAGTGGAGCATCGTGAGGAGATGCAGTCCCAATTAAATTACGGGTTAAAAATTGAAATTACACTTCAACCACAGGGAATAAACTTAAACCTATGACTGAATTAAATGGTGGATTAAAGTGGATCAACGTACTAACAGTTCAACCATTAAAACGCATATTCCAACACAGCTGCTCCGTTTACTTTAGTTGGGTAAACTGAGTAATATTATCCAATTGATCATAAATGTTTTCAAATCGGACATTGATTGTCAATTCAGAGATTTGTAATAATATTACTAATATTACTAAATTTTGGAGAAACTTAGTGACTCCATGGTTAGTATATAAACCCGCACTTACCAAATGGGTTGAATTATTTTATTGACTAATATAGTTCAGAATCAAACTGCTTGGATTATCAGAACTTTGAGAATTTTAACGATGAATGTTTAGATTCAATCAACACTAATGAGAAAAGAATAACACGGTGTATGTTTCTTTGACAGTTTGTTAATATTCTAACTGACTGTAATAATAAAATATAACAGATTATTACACAGTTTCGAATATTGATCTGGTAGGATAGAGAAACACAAAATCATTTAACTACAGTACAATAAACGTAGCCTTATCAAAATAATTAATTTACCATGTCAGTAAGTTAAAAGTCAGTCTTTAGAAGTAAGAAATCATTAATGCACTTCTTACAATACGTTTGCTACCTAGATATTTAACAGTATATATAGATAGAGGTAAAAGAAACAAGCGAGAATGTTGTCAATGCAAGCGGCATAGAAGCATTCACCTAAAAATAAACCCCTGCGGTAACACAAACTGATAAATTTAAACTGGAATATTAACAATGGAAAAATGAAAAAAACGTGACAACTAATGATACGAAATAAAGACTTTCAACATAAAATCAGTCTAGTTTGAATGAATAACATAATATAAATACTTCATTTCTGAATTCATTTCACACCCTGATCTAAAACATCATATAGTCAAAAAGTTGCCATATTTTCTATCGTCCAAACAAAGCACGCTCTGTTGAAACAGCACGTTTAGTATCAAATGTTAGCTACTGTAGTCAAATGTACTTATTAATGAATTAAATTTCGATTAATTGCCTCATATCACAAGTTGGTGACATTGGGGTAACTTGCCTGTTATAATGTTAGTTGATTATTATTATTATTATTATTATCATTATCAAAATTTATGTTAACGCTTTTAAAATAGAGATAATAAAAAGATTAGCTAAGTTTAGAATTACTTGAGTTCAGTGTCAATAGTCTTTATGCAATGGGTCTTCCTATAATAATTTGAGTGGTGCTGTTATGGTGGTCAATAATTAACTCTTTACTTTTTCAAATAATCTTTCAGTAAAAAAAGACTAAAGACAAGTTTATTATTCAGTAATAACTATCAGTAACACTGTATACCTGTTTTAAATTCAATCTAATTGTCACAAAACCTACAAAAAGTCAATTACTTATAAAATCATAAAAGTTTAAGATAATAATCATAATAAATGAATTACTAGACACATACTAGGATGTAATGTTGACCTAGTGAATGGAATCGAAGCATTGATCAAAATTTGCTGTAGACGTGTAATTTCTGTTTCATAAGGTTCAACTATTGCTCGTACATAGTCATCATCATTATCCTCCTCTTTGTTTGAACCAATGTCATGATTTGGCCAAAAAGATGAAACAGTGGATTTATTTAAAATAAAATTATTTGTTAGTGCTTTATGACCAACACGTCGAACTAATTTCTCTACTTTATCCAATGCCTGATTAGCTAAACTTTGAGCTGACTTTTTTTCAGTGATAAGAAGTGATGATTTGGAGGTTGGACAATTCTCATTTTCAGTTGGTGATGAATCGCTTGAACACTGACCATCTATAAACTGATGCAAATAACCCTATGATAAATGAAACATAGTGAAGAAAATTAGATTTGTGATGAATTAAAAATGATATTATTGGGCTAAGCTATCGAGTTTAGGTTCGTCTAACATCTACTGAAATAAAACATTGTAAGTGTAAATGTTTAAAGTACTTTACCTAACTATTCATATTCATGTTAACAAGACAAAATTGAGTAAATAAGACACTAGAATTCCCAGAGTTATTGATAACGACTTTTAGTGGCCCTATATCTGACTCCAGATAGGTCATTTGCTGCTTATTACCAAAATATATATGTTGCCAATCCTCGTATATGACCATCGACTTAAATTGCGTTAGTCAATAACGGAAGTAAATAAGTATTTTGTATATTTTGTACAATTATTGATCAGAATAGACAATCAGAAAGACGGAGTCAAGGTAGTGAAGAGAGAGAGAGAAGCGAAACGACGTGTGGTGCAGATGGCATGTAAGCCAACTCGTCTTAATCATGTGTGACTCGATATTTATCGTCAGACAAAATAAGTTACAGATATGTGATGGGTAAGATAAGAAATGCACACACGTTCATACTAAAAAACAGCCAGGATTAATAAGCGAATAAGTGACAGGGCAAAAACGTGGCTTGAGAAGAATGAATATATTGATAGAGAGGCTAGAATAATCCATATGTGCTTGGCATTGTACCAGCCCCTACAGGCTAAAAAAATGAAATCGTTTGTATTCATGTATCTGACCTCAGAGAATCGTTCAAGTTGAATCTGGTTGGAGTAATACCTAAAATAATCCTAATAAATACTAACTAATAACAAGAAAATATTTGTAATATAAAAACCACAGATAATATGTATCATGCTTAATGGTCAAGGTTTACAATAATGTCACTGTAAATGCACATAAAATAAAACCAATAACCAATAAATTATTAATAATCAATGAAAGAACTATGAAAGAAAGGAGAAAAAACAAATCACATGATTATTATGTCTTGCAACATCTGATGAGCCATACTTCAGAAGACATTAGAGAAATATGGTATTTCTGGATATTGAATTATCTCATTCAGTGTCAAATTTTAATCAAAAATCACGTTTTAGTTTATGATATAGTAAACAAAAGACTTGAAGTATAGCTTAATCATTGAGTTATAACACTTAATTCAATGACAAATAATTCAGATTGTAATGCATTCAAAAAATGTGCCTAAATTCATGAAGTTTAAAGATTTAAATTTGTATAGTTTGGAATACCAGTTTTCAGTTTATTTTGATTCAATTTGCTATGTAATTTATTAAAACACAATTAATTGATTTTGAAAAGAAATCACTTTTGACCAGTGTATAATGAAATTTTAAGTATTTGATCCATAAAATGACCTAATTATAGTTTCCGCTATGAACACACCAATATTACTTCAGGTGATATTAAAATTATAATAAGCTGTGTTAAAAAACTCCAACTATAGTAGTTGGGAGATATTTGACTGATTACAAAAAGGATCAGTATACTGAGTGACAGTTCTCAGAATAGCTATGAGACAGCCGATAAAGTTTAAAGGCATGCCGATGTCTCTGCAGCATTGATTAAATATAGTTGAAGCATAAGGGTGGCTGTAGTAAAAATAACGCCTACACACATTACTATTATCGCTATACACATGGTGGATGAAGAATAGTTTGTAAAAGGACTAAGTATGGAAGAGTTCAGACATGACATTAGTCAATGAAGGTATCCAGAGTTATAGTATGCTAACAGATGACAATGTAACATAAGTATTCTTTAATTACATAGCTCTATATTATACGGTGTACTTTTTTAACAATCTTTAGCAATTGGGAATAATTGTCAGTTTGGGAGTCACTGAGAGGACGTACGTGAGATGTGATGAAGCTACCGAAAACAGAGTTTTAGGGTCATAACACCAATGGAATCCCTCCCTTTACTGTGACTAAACACATGTTGCTAGGTCACACGATGACTTACACAGTGAAAGTAAACTTTCAAAGACAACAATGACTGGATAGGTTCATCAAGGATAGGATTCATTTGACTTTGATTTAATGGGAATTATCATACAGTAGAGTCGTTCGCCTAAAACTTTATAACCAAACAAGTCTCTCTCTCTACACCACAACTACCACATAATTCCTCCGGAGTTATCCCCAGAATCTTATCGACGAGAAAATTCAAGACAGATTATAAGACTGAGTAACCCTATGTTATATTAGTGTTGTACTCAAACAATGGGGACATGTAGTTGTATACTCTCACTTTTGTGAAACGAGTCCTGAACATTTTAATAAACTCCAAAAAAACACACTATTCAATAGATAATCTCAGAATAAAATCCCATCCAAAGAATTAGATGCCACCTTAATATCATAAAATAAAATGATTATTGGCCTAAAATATGTACGGGTGTTCAAGCATTTGGTTGAGGGTAGGAAAAGTGATTATCTAAAACCTGACCTGCACCTCAACGGTAAGTTCTTTGTGTTTTGCACGATCTGCACAGTACGATGAATCAGAAAGTAGCGAAATAGTATCCAGATGATTATAAATATTGCATACATTTCGTAGGCTGTTTCTGAGAGTGTATACAACAGCCATTTTGTTTTAGAGTGATTGAATACTTAGTTTACCATAAATTTTGTCTGAAAACAATTACTCTTCTTGTACTTTATCAATACATTTGCTTCAGATCACAAAATATCGGTTGTCCAAAAACTAACAGTTAAAAACCATTTAACAGACCAACGTATTATAAAATGAAGAGAGCAAGACTAAAAACTTGGGCAAAACAATATAAATTTATTTTACTTAGTCAGCTGCTTACAACCTATATATTAAAATTATCGTGAAAGTTGACATGCTTAGAACAGTGAAATCCGTTAGGTGTGAATATTTGTCGTTATGATGGAGTGGGGATTGTAATAAGGATAAATTATTTGACTATGTAATTATTTTTGTGTTCTCGAACCCTCTCTAAATTACCATATTTATTTGCAGCGCTATATATGTTTCCAATCTTATTACGTTTATTCTAACCGTCACTTCACCATGCCGATTCATTATTATAAGTATGGAAATTATGTTAATTTTGATTTTAAAATATTATAGATGGTAAGCGGCCGACTAAATGTACGACGTTATAAATGGAATTTTAGCTCAAATCAAATTACTCGTGTTGATTGGATGGGACAAAACTAATGCATATCACAAGAAGTCTACTACAGGATTCAAATAAGTCAACAATGTTAACAGATTATTCCATACTGACAAGTGAACACAGAAAGTCACGCACAATTCTCTAACCAAAATGACAACAATAAAATTCACCTGTTCAGAAGCTATCAGCAGCGAGGACAATTCTTCATCATACTGTTTTTTCAAGGTTAATAAGGCATCCTCATGTTCAGTCATTAACATTTCCGCGGCGCTTTTAATATTTGCCAATTCTAGTTCAAGTTTGACTAACTGTTTCCGTGACTCTACAGCCTCATTCTGTGCATCCTTACAGGCTGACTGAGATTCTAATAGTTCCGATTCTCTGTCTAACAAGACAGATTCTAAACGACATTTAAGTTCGTTATCGGTTAACTGGTCTAAAATATTTGAAATAAACGGAGGTAAAGAAGGTTTGATGAAGTTATCGGTTGTATTGCTAAGAAAATTTTCACGTACAGGTGTTTTTTCGTGATTCGAATTAGGCGATAACATAATTGTTAACTCCACAAAATAAATCAGAATTATTCCACAGATCAATTGAAAACAGTTCCTTGCATTACGAATTTATGGAGACTGTTATTTGTGTTACTTTTGACAGAGAACTCTAAAAACAGAATGAAGAAGACTAAAATTTCAATGAAATATTATTTTAGGTTTCATGAGCAGATAATACAATAATGACAATATAGATTTGAACATTTCATACGTCGTATAAACGTAATAAGTAAAATAGACTGGAAAAAACTGTTGTGATTTATCTGAATGACTTAATTTTTAACGATATTTCATACTGTATTGTTGTATGAATTCGATAAATACTGACTACATATTTCCTGTTAATCAACACACAAGTAGAAGTTTGGAATTTTCTAAATAGCTAACTTCAGTGTTTAGAACCTCAGCGACACGCATAGGAATGAAACGGCTTTTATAACAGTGTTATACGATTTGAGAAACATAAAATAAGGCTATGGCGTTTAATTGAGTCGGGAATTAAAATTAATTTACTGTTTAAAAATGAATTCGCATATTAGTCCTGATATTAAATAAACAATTACTGAAGCTATAGCCACTGAAAATTAAATTACTTGAGTTGTATAGAGGATATGTTATGAAAGAATTTTTAGTCAGTCAACAAAAGTTCTTTACAGGATAGATGACCTGCTTTCGCTACCTCAATGCGTATTTACAAATTCAAGCACCCTTGAGGAGAGATTTCTATGGAATTTCCTGTCGGGTAGTTTGTCTAATAAATTACTAAAGATCTATTTGGGAAAGATCACATGAAGTTATTATACAAATCTATCTTGGCCTACACTTGGCCTATAATAGCTACGTAATAAACGGGACTAAAGAATTCGGTCAATCTTTGCATTTTTCTTCATTGTTCAGACAAGATTCAGAATTATCTATCACATACACATAACTAGGACTATAGAGATTCAGAAACTCCGCCTACGACCTTCTGGAGTTACTGCTGATCCCAAGCCCGGATAAAAGAGGAGGGTTGGGCATGGAGTTAGCGACCCCATCCCGTAGAAAACCAAATCGCTAAAAAACGCTAACCAGAAAAAATAATTCAAACCATGTAAACTCTGCCCTGGGAGTTGAAGGAAGAATTATGACACCTCATGATGAAAGCCGAGATCCTTCGGAAGTCACGAGGCCGATACACCTTCTAAAAACGATAGTAACAATTTTCATAGGTAAATGGAACGTCCGGACAATGTGGGAGACCGGGAACACCAGTCAAATAGCAACAGAAACGATAAGATACAACTTGGCGGTTCTCGGAATAAGTGAAACCCATCGGACCCAAGCTGGATATCAAAGGCTAGATACGGGAGAGATGCTGCTGCACTCTGGTCACAAAGAAGAAAATGTTCCACATACTCAGGGAGTTGCTCTGATGCTGTCGAAAGATGCTCGTAAAGCACTTATAGGGTGGGAATCTCATGGATCCAGAATCATCGAAGCCTCCTTCAAAACAAAGAAGAAGGTAATCACAACGAAAGTTATCCAATGTTATGCGCCCACCAATCATAGCAATGACGACAATAAAGATCAGTTCTACTGGAGGTCGCAAACGATCACAACAAAATGACAAGGAAAGGACCTGATAATCCTGATCAGAGATCTAAACGCCAAAGTCGGAATGGACAACGACGGTTATGAAGATATCATGGGACAACACGGACTAGGAGAGAGAAATGAAAATGGGGAGAGATTCGCAAATTTATGTGCATTCAACAAATTGGTGATAGGCGGCACAATATTTCCACACAAACGCAGACACAAAGCTACATGGGTCCCACCAGATCACACCACGGAGAATCAGATAGATTATATTTGTATCAACCAAACATTCGGAAGGACAATGGAAGATGTGGGAACTAGGAGAGGAGCTGGCATAGCTTCAGACCACCACCTGGTTGTGGCCAAGGTGAAACTGAAGCTAAAGAAACACTGGACAACTGGACAAACAGCATTACAAAGGTTCAACACAGCCTTCCTTCGAGATACTGACAAACTCAACGAATTCAAGATCACTCTCAACAACAGGTTCCAAGACTTACAGGATCTACTGTAAGAACAAGAAACTACGATGGAGGACAACTGGAAAGGGATCAAAGAAGCACTAACTTCAACGTGTCAAGAGGTGCTGGGCTGCAAGAAGCATCACCATAAGGAATGCATCTCTACGGAAACCCTGGATAAGAAGAACAAGAAGACAGTAAGTAAAAGCAGCCGAACAAGAACAGAGAAAGTCAAGGCACAAGTTGAACACGCGGAAGCAAACAAGCAAGTGAAGAAGAGCATTAGAACTGACAAACAGAAATAAGTGGCAGAGCTACCAACAACAGTGGAAAAAGCTGTAAGAGAAGGAAATATGAAACAACTATACGACATGACGAAGAGACTTTCAGGGAAATATAGTAAACCAGAGACCGGTCAAAGACAAAGAAGGCAAGACAATCACTGAAATTCAGAGACAAAGGAACAGATGAGTGGAACACTTCGGGGGACTCTCGAATAGACCAACTCCACTGAACCCACCAGACATCGAAGCAGCACCTACGGACCTTTCTATAGATGTCACCCCACTAACGATCGAAGATATCAGGATGACCACTAGATAAATGTAGAGTGGGAAATCATTATGGCCTGATAATATACTAGCCGAAGCACTGGGGTCAGACATAGAAGTAACCGCAAAGGTACCCCATATTATCTTCAGGTGAAGTGCCGATCGATTGGAAAGTAGGATACTTCACCAAGATACCAAAGAGAGGCTATCTTAGCAAGTGCGAGAACTAAAGAGGCATCACACTACTATCAATACCAGGGAAAGTTTCCAATAGTGTTGTTGAACCGAAAGAAAGACTCAGTAAACGCTAAACTTCGAGAACAACAGAATCGATCATGTATATACCAAATCTCAACACTACGAATCATTATGGAACTCATCACTATACATCAACTCCCTTGACTATGAGATAGCATCTGACAGAGTAGATAATAGATCATTATGGAACCTTCTTCGACACTGTTGTGTACTTAAGAAGATCGTCACCATCATACGAAATTCTTACGATGAACTGAAGTACAATGTCATGCATAGAAGGCAGCTCACAAATGCATTCCAAATTAAGACCGGTGTCAAACAAGGCTGATTACTCTCATATTTTCTTTCTTCTGGTGGTTGTCTTGATTATGATGACCTATGCCTCTCAGAGCAAGCACGGGATACAGTAAACAACCTGGATACAGCTAGACGATTTGGACTTCGCAGATGACCTAGCACTCCTGTCCCATACACATCAACAAATGCAGGTCAAAACAGTCAGTATAGAAGCAACTTCTGCAGCAGTGGGCCCCAACACACACAAGGTAGAACCAAGATCCTCAAATATAACATGGAGAACACTAATCCAATCACACTTGATGAAGAAGCTCTGGGAGAGGTGGGACTTTTTACATATTTGGGCAGAACCATCGACGAACAAGGAGAATCTGATGCGGATGTGAAGGCAAGAGTAGAATTCCTAAGACTGAACAACATACAGAACTCAAATCAATTGTCAGCTAACATCAACGTCAGAATCTTCAATATGAACATCAAGACAGTTCTACTGTACGGAGATGAGACTTGGAGAATCACTACAAGCATCATCAAAAACGTACAGGCATTTATAAACAACTGTGTATGAAAGATACTCCACATCCAATGACCAGAGGTGGATAGGATACAGTTTACGCAAACCCAGTTGCAACTTCACTTATCTTGGGAGTCTATATACAATCGCAAAATGGCTAAAAGTATTAAACCCTACCCGAAATCAATTTTGTAAGTATTCCTTGATTGACTCATTTGGATTAGGTACTTAATGGATATGAATGCAAAAACAAAGACAATGCGCTGCATTGATGTGAACACTTTACTTACAAATGTACCCCTTGGGGAGACTATTAATATTTTATGTGACTATATCTCATCAAATAACCTTCCATTGCCATTTCCTGTTAAAACTCTTAAATATTTATTATGAGTGTGTACTGACAGTGTAAAATTCACTTTTGAGGGTGAGCACTTTCGAAAAATCGATGGCGTAGCTATGGGTAGCCCTTTAGGACTGTTGCTGGTTTATGTGTTTATGGGATATGTTGAAAATCTAGCTGAAGACTCAATTGAAAAGATGTGTCTGTATAAACGGTGCGCTGATAACATCATAATCATGGGGGATAAACGTGAAGATGTGAACCGTTTGTTAAAAGAACGCAGCACAAGTCAAAAGTATATTTCTCTTAATGCGAAGAAGAGAAGAATAGCCAGCTTCCTTTTTTAGACATACTGAATAGTAGGAGAGATGATGGTTCCATCAAACGCTCTGTATATAGAAAGTTGATAATGAACAGGTAAATATCTTAATTTCCATAGTCACTGTCCGATTAATTAAAAACGTGGATTAACAAAGGGCTTATTCAAGAGAATCAATCATATTTGTATTAGCGATACTATTGAAGTAGAGACGAAACCCTTGACTGAAACATTAATGAATAATGGTTATTCATTGAAGTTTACAAAGCGCTGGAAGGGTTGGAATACGATTAGACCTATGACGCTTCAGGCACCCAAAAAGCGAGTTTACATTATGTTACCATTTAGAGGCGACTCAAATAATTTCATGTTGAAACGGAGACTTAAATTAACCATCAACAAGACATTTTATACATCCCAACTTGTCATTATTCAAAAGACAAGACCAGATGGTCATCACCCTAATATTCTACAGAATAGCTTAATAGGAATCTGGAAATGTGATACTGTCTGCTTTATTTTTGCATTTTGTCATTTTCATTTCGTCCTGAAACTCGCCACGGTTTTTTCTAGTGTAAGGATAATGAGTGTTATTAAGAGAAAAATAGGAAATAGACTTACAGCCACTGAGTCCCATGTTCGAAACCCTTTCCGTCTACTTTGGTTTAAGAAACCAGATAGTATCAGTAACCCTTAGCTCAAAGTGTGACCCATACCCAAGTACCTAGGAACGAGTTAGCGTTAAATAAAAAACCTAAATGACTGAATTCTGACTGGTGGATTGT